AGGGAAATACGATGCCTATACAAACCGAGAGCTGGAGGCGGAAAGAATGAGGGCAGCCTGCCTGAGTCTGAGTGTGCAGGGGCCTGGCCTGGCGGAGCAGGCTGTCACCCCACCACACCCCCATGGGGTCGTGTCCCGACAGGGCGATGGCCCACTCTAGAGCAGACGAAGGCTCGGGGAGGAACTGAAGCTTGTCCAAAGTCATCGGCTGGTATCTGGAGAGGCTGGGACTAACACCTTTAGTCAAGAATCTCGGTGTCCTCGGAGCCTCTCAGGCCAGTGGGTCAAAACATGCTGATTTAGGTTCAGCTCAGCGAGGCTGGGCAACTTGCCCACTGTCACCCAGCTCTTAACAGCCAGGATCAGGCCTGGCGGGGGCACTGGTCTGAGAGGATTAGGAATGCGAGGGACAGACAGGAGGGTTTAACCAGGGAGACATGGGGGCGGGGCGGGGGGAGGGACGGGCACAAATGCACAACAGAGGCGTGAAACACACTAAGGGCCAGGGGCTGTAGGTCCCAACTGGCAATGACAGGAAAGGCAAGGGAGACATCTGAGTGCTAATCCTCGCTGTCACCCTGTGAGGAGGTACTGTCGACTGCACTTTATAAACAGAAAACTCGTGGACAGAGAACAACTGCCCGAAGTCGCACGGCAGAGCCCATGCGCCAGCGCTGGCAGGAGGTGGTGGAGTTGGGCCCAGATGGGAACGTGGGCAAAAGCATCGAAGCCACCACCATGACCCCGCCAACCCAGCAACACCGCCACAGGTCAAGCAGCCACTTAACCAAGGGGCTGTCCCCACTCCCCACGGGCCACTTCTGCCCGGCCAGGCAGTGTCAAGGGCTAAACCTGCAGTGCAGGTTTCAATGAGAACAAACGGCATGGCATTTCCACCCTCTCTGGTCACCAAGGCCACTGTCCGCACCACCCCCTCCACACCCCCCAAGCTCAGGTGGCCAGAGGTGGCTGCACCTTTGGGCCCCTTCGCCTTGCAGACATCTCCACTTTACATCAGGAATTTCCTGGTGGGCAGTACCCCCCTCCCCCACCCCACCACTGACTCTCGGGTGAGAGGTCAGGGAATGGGGAATGAGTCACTGGCAGCACTGGACCGAGGGGGAGACGAGCCTCCCAGACTGTGGTTGTGTCACATGCTTCCTGACGCCTGCCTTGCAAACCCCACGTCTCCTCCCCACATAGCGTGCAACTGCACTGGGAAGACAGCTGAGCCCTGGGTCATTCTTGTAGTTTGGCCCGGAAGGGTTCCTGGAACAAGCTGGCCTTGGCCCTCAGAAGAGCTGGGACCGTACTATCACCAC